TCCCCTCTCTTCAAGACCACTCTCCCAGGTGTTCGACGATACGTCCATCCAGCACTGCGTAACAACCGTACCACAGTATCATACGACACTGATAAATTAGCAGACTGATAGAAGGTTCTAACTGTAGTATATGGATTGCGGCGTTTCGCGATGGTGAAACTCCTGACGATAGCCCTACGAGCCCTCTCCGTTAGAGCATGTGGACGGCCAGTAGTACGAACATCACCAGAGGTACCAGTACCAGCCGACAGGCGGATAGGTTTCCCACGGAGGATACGACTCACAGCGGATTGGCTCCTACCGACTAAGTGAGCAATCTGGCGTGTTGAGTGACCTTTCCTTGCTGCCCGGACTATTTTTTGTCTATCGGATTCACTCAGGAAAAAGCTGGAATTCATCTGCAATCTTCCCCCAGCTGGAGCGCAAATTTGACAGCAACGTGGAATTCCGAGAAATCGTGCGGGCTACAGTCAAAATTAAAATTAGTTGACTCAGTCGCGCGCCCCTCTTCACCCCATACAATGTTGGTTGGGGTCGTCACGAATGACATCATAGATGATTGTAAGCAACATTGTGGAGGGGGAGAGGGGGAGCATACCAGAGACTAATCACACACTGTTGTCTCTCTCTGTACATACTTTTGCGTTTGACTGGCTTGTCCAAGTCGTGTCCGCCGTTCTCCATTTCTGTCGGTACCAGGCTTGGAGGTGAAGTGAGTTTTCGAGTGTTATATTCTCGTCAGAACTCGCTGAATATCGTCATTAACTGCTCTGGATTTTCAGGAATTTTCGGAGAACATGAGCATGTGTGATGTGATAAACGTATGGTCACTTCACTTGCATCACACAGAAAATTGTGATGTAAGTGAGTGGTGTTGCAAGTTGCAACAGAACCATTTTCAAGTTGTTGAGCCCCGACGACCTATATAACTCATTGTTGCCTCAGGTAATGCGAGTTGTTATAATCATATAAACTCAGAGACTCTAGTCTGATTGCACAGTATCATCATCGGCTGTTAACATCAATGGTTCAGAAAAAGCGAAAATCGCCTCATAGCAACCGAGGCCGCTAAGGAAGGGGAATCCGAATTGGTCGCAAATCATCATCACCAAACAATCATTGAGTGTCTCAGATCTTCTCATGTGTGTTCAACGCGGTCAATAACCGCTCGGACAAGAGGTGTCAGAAGTATTGAGAAATCATCATAGAAACAAATATAAAGCTGTATGCCAGCCAATTGACACGCAGCTATACGAAAGCTTGATGCCACCCGCTGAAATTCTCACTCTAGGACGAGTTGCAATAACCGCAAAACTCACAGGAGATCGAATGTGGTTTCCTTTCATCCGGTAAACTATTGGAGCCTCAGTGTGCGTTGAGAGAGTATCATCAGAACCTATCAGCGACTCTAGTCTGATAGCACAGAATCATCATCGGCGAAAAAATAACGAGTCAGAAGCATGCGAGATTGGCCTCATAGCAACCGAAGCTGCTAAGGAAGGGGAATCCGAGTTGGTCGCTAGTTCATCATCCTCGCAATTACAATGCTGGCTACTCAGCTGCGTCTCATTTGTGTTCAGCGCACAGACACTGTGGTCTGTGCTCGGACAAGAGGTGTCAGATTTAGAGATAATCATCATCGCCAGAATAATGAAGTGTGGTCTAGCCAATTGACACGAGATCATAACAGAAGCTCATCATGCCACCCGCTAGACTTGGTCATGAATTTTGGATGATTTTGAACCGCAATCGTACGTAGAACGAATGAGGTCTTCGAAACATCCGGTCACCATTCCCCCGCCCCTCGTCGAACACAAGTCCCTCAACTCAACACCAAAGCATGTAACTTGTGTTGCTGCTGGCAACGAACCGTGCGTTGGAAACGGCCAAGGCTCATCACTCGCGATCACATCGTAGAGGAGGATACTTTACTCGGCGAAGGAGAGGATGTTCTTCTCGTGCAAGAGACGGTTGACGCAAGCATCAGACTCACCCTGAAGGAAAGATAATGACAACCATCAATCAGCCTATCCTCAAGATGGTACAGTACCTTGCTCCTCATGTAACCGGCAATGCAGACGGGGTGGAACTCGCCAGTAGCAAGGCCAGTCTTGGGGTCAACAACGGCAACGTTGAACTGAGCCGACCTGAGAGAACACAACATAACCGCACGTCAAGTAGTCATTTACAGGCTAGCGGGAGAGCGATACGATAGAAAAAGAGGCAACGATGACAACAGAAGAGCCAGAAGTCCAAACTTCGATGCATATTACTTGTGGTCGTTAGCGGCGATGATCCTGTTAGTGGCAGAGCACTTACGAGGGATGTACAAGTCGACGATCTTTCCTTGATCGTTCTGCATGGTTGATTTCGGCAGCAAATCCACACTAGGGTGATGGCGATCGATTCCACATAGCGTGGGCAGCCGATTTTGGGGCGGAGCGAAGCGTGTCGCGTTTGCTGTTTTTGTCCCCACCGTGAGTCGAGTGACAAGAGGATCGTGAGAGTTGCCTCAAGTATCTCGACAGCACAGCTCTGCATAGGAATTCAACGTCTTCTACTAATTTTATAAAAGCTCAACGGAATAAGGTGGAATCTTGAGGTCGTGGCAGTTGGATACGGAATAGGTCCGTTTGAGAACATCTCCGTTACAGCCATTTCAGTCGAATCTCTGATACCAAGGGGATCACGAAGAATCTTTACATTTGGCTGAGGCGTCTTCGCGTCGTTCTCACATTGTTGCAATTCTCATTGACAATCTTAGTTTCTCGCGGTGGTTGTTTGCCTTATGACCACCGCAGCAACTGTGCCAAGCGCCGTCCCTGCAGTCGACTCGCCGTCGCGGTCTCCCAATACTACACCGGCTACCATCGGGCCCTCGATCAATGGTGTTCGAGGTGAGCGGCGACGCCAATATGGACGTGGCGGGACCCAACATCATAATAACGTCAAGAACGGTGCGTCTAGTGTTGCTGTTTCCCCAACGCTAGAGACTGCCAGTACTGTCGGATCAGTGACAGTGTGGAAGAAGGAGGCCCAGGGCCGACCGTATGACCCGTTTTTATTCGCGAATTTCACCCAGGTTGTGAAGACCCATCTAGAGTGCGGAGTGTCTGCTGGCGGTCAACAGCCGGAATCAGCGGTGGATTATTCGCAGCTAGTGGATTTTCTCGTGGGCTGTTATCAC